CTCCCCATCATCCTAAGGCAATGATTCTCAAACTTGAACATGCATTAGAATCACCTGAGGGTTTAAAAAAAAAAAAAAGACTCACCTGAGGGCTTGTTAACACAGAATGCTGGGCCTCACAGAGTTTTTGATTAGATAGAGGGATGGGCCTGAGAATATGCATTTCTAGCAGGGTCCCAGAGGATGATGATGTTCCTGGTCCAGGCACCACACTCAGAGAACCAGAATTCAAGAGAATAAGTTGAGAGTTATGCATATAATAGAAAATCCTAGATGAACTCATCCTTTGCCTTTCTCTCCAGGCTTATATCCTATTATTCCCCTCTTAAATAGTAAGCTTTAGCAATGTCAGACCACTTGCAGTTGATCAATAATACGTGTGTTATTACACAAAATGAATGATTTGTGTTCAGTAGAGAGAGTGATGGTGATTTCAAGAGTGAGGATGATTTTGTCTGTTGTAGTAATCCATAAACACACATATACCAGTCCATGAGCATCCTGACAGGGTGTGAGGTGGGGATGAGAATCTGCCGTTCCTTCAGGGGTCTCTTCCTGCTTGCCTCTCCCAGTGTAGTCAGCTGATCATGCTGAGGGAGATTACATGCATCTCTCTGTATAACATGGGTTTTAAATACAAGCCCTCCATTTCATCTGATTCCTAACTGAAGAATCCATGACCAATTTCAATACCAGAGGAAAAACTCTGAACAGCTTCTTGAGAGGTAGGACAACATTGTAATTTATGGGTATTCTCAAGGATTTCAAGGGATAATTTTGACCAAACATGATTTCACATTATGTGCCCACTGTAGAGCTCATTGCCTTGTAGGATGAGTCTTTACTGTCTCTGTGTATTTACATATCTTTCTTCTTCTCTTGGATCAGCATGACTTGAGGGCAGATCTGTGTCTTATTCATTTGGGGCTTTGTAGAGAATGCTCTGGATTGGCTCACTCAATGTAGCAGTATATCATCTATCATGATATCTCATTTAACAAGGATTCAATAAATACTTATGGAATAAATGAGTAGAATAACAAAGGAGTGGAATTAGATGATCTTATTAGAAAGCAGAAGATACTCATTTTTTTCCTGAGAGACCATCATAGTCCAATGGAGTATCAAATATGGAAGGCACCTTGGGATTGTTTAATTAAAATCCCTTTTATGATTAAAAAAATCTTGGAAAAACAAAGTAATTTTACTCAATATTGCTTCCACTTAATAATTCTGCGTATCCTTTTCTGGATAGATTCTAGTTTAGCCAAATCCCTTTAAAGTACAATAACTAAATTGATAAAATACTCTAGTATTACTACCATAGTCTCTGTGGACAGATTTCCTCTTCAGCATTTGCATGTTACACAAATTCAAATTATTTCAGTTTTTGTTGAATCTCTTCATCATAGAGAAAAATGAATGACCATGTATTGTTCCTGCAAGGGCAGAAACAGTGTTTTATTCAACTTATATCCTCTTTGCTTGGGACACCAATTGGCACTAGGGCATTCAAATGTTTTGTTTTTGCTGAAATAAGTGAACTAGGGGAAACTTTGAATCAGTTATTTGCCCATTTTATAAACTTGGAATCACTGTGGTGTTAAGGACCTCTAGAGATCCACTGGAAATCATGGCTTTTGAAGAAGGAAAACACTTATTTCACCATGGCAAAGGCTCTATCACATTTCAGTTCCACTGAGATAAATTCTTAAGTTTAAAAATTGTAAATATTTTAGCTACATCTCTTTTTAAAAAAGTAAATAGGGTCATGTCATTTAATCATGAACACAATTATAGCTTTCCTTCTGTTGTCTTTGTTTTGTTTTGTTTTGGTAAAATACTTCTGTGCAATGTGGAAAGATCTTCACTTTCATCTGCTTATGCCCTGACTTTTCCTTCCTCAGGATGGACAGATCCTGCCTCTTTCCTCACTTGACTTGCTTCAGAATTCAAGTATTTCGTGCATAAGAGTAGCAGGATCTAAATCACATATGAAACCAGGACTGTAAAGGATCTAGGTGATACAGTTTTTAGTCGTCCAGATTCTGCATTTCAGGAAGTTGGAACAGATCCCAAGTGAGCTAATCCACAGCGTCTGCTGACACCTACTGAAATTCTGCGTCAGCCCTGGTTTTAAAGCAGTCATGAACCCAGAGTTCTACAGTGAGCTCACTAAAGGACTTGCTGTAAATCCATGAAGAGATCCCCTATCCTTTTTCACCTTCAGTTTTGCTTTGTTAGTTGAAAATGAAAGTAATTGCTAACTACCTGTCTTAAAACCTGTCCTTAGCCCCTGTGAATGCTGGGGACAGTAACCCACCCAAGAGAGTTAATAATTACCACACCAAACCTGGCTATGATGGCAGTAGCACTGAGGTAATGGCCAGCCTCCCCCCAGCATGGTGATGGCTCTGCTTGTGGATGTAAGCATACTACCTCACCAACCCAAGAGCCAGCAAAACTCCAGACTGCTACAGGGAGATTCTTCCTAAAGCCCAAATCAGATTCTATTACTAATTTAGGATTTTCCTACTCCACCCTATTTCCCAAAGGATCAAGATAAGCCTATGCTTCTTAAAATGGCATGCAAAGCCTTCCATGATCTGGTCTTATCCACCTCATCTACCTCAAGTCTTTCCTCTGTTCCTTTAACTATTTCAACTATGACTATTCTAGTTATATTCTAACTGCATGGAACTGCTTAAAATTACCCACATGCACCATGCTGCTTCTGCCTCTGTGTCTTTACTGGTAAAACACCTTCGTTTGAATCCCAGTTCCACTAACTTTGTGGGCTTATTGCTTAGCACAGTGCCTGACTTAGAGAAGGTGGTTAGTACATGCTAGTTTTATCATATGTGAGGCAAGATGATAGTAAAGAAGGGGAAATATGTTGTCTTTGGGACCAGATAGACTTGTTTCGATGGCCCTGATGCAGCACTTTACAGTTCTGAATCCATGGCCTATCATATAACCATCCTAAGTCCACTTACTATAAAAAGTGATCACAGGAATGTGGAAGGATTCAGATAGTGCATTTAAAGTGTCTGTCACCCTCCTGGCACATGGTAGATGTCCAGTAAACAGTGGTTCTTGTTACTGTTATTATTTATACCAATTGTACAGTAACTATTTCCTACTGAGTAGGTAACATTGGTTACTGAGGGGCTCAGTGTCACATGTCCTATTTATTTATTTATTTACTTATTTTATTGGAGCATTTTTTTATTTTTTTATTTTATTTATTTTTTTTGGAGCATTTTTTTTTTTAAACTTGTGTAGCAGGAGCTGTTTTATTTCTTCATAGAACTAACTAATTGGCATCCTTTGCTTTGGATTATCACAGTTTTGTGTTCCTCTGTCTACTAAGTGTGAGGGTAGGAGACAGAAAAAAGGAAAACAAATAAAGGCCAAACCTGCTCTATTGTTCCTTGGATCCTCAGAACTAGAAGAAATCTTTTCCAGATGGTCTTCTGCAATCTACGGCACCACTTCCCCCTCCCCATAAATACATAATAACATAAATTAATGTTTTATGTCTGTTCTCTCCCAAGTTTAATTCAGTTCCTTTCTCCTACCAGTTGAATCTTGTCTCTGATATCAGCAGACTCATTTATCTGTTTAATCTAGTGATAGTGTAATTCAGAGATAGTATTTGACATTCAGGTAGTGATGCCTTTTTGAATTTCATGTTTGAAAGACAGATGCAATTAAGTATATTTATTGAAGAAACCTTATACACAATTTATTGGTAATTGTTGGTATTTGTCCATTGAGCTATATTTGTCATTTTTGAAGGGAAATCTTTTTTTTTTTTTTTTTTTTACGATAGTCATAGAGAGACAGACAGAGAGAGAGGCAGAGACACAGGCAGAGGGAGAAGCAGGCTCCATGCACCGGGAGCCCGACGTGGGATTCGATCCTGGGTCTCCAGGATCGTGCCCTGGGCCAAAGGCAGGCGCTAAACCGCTGCGCCACCCAGGGATCCCTGCACATATATATTTCTAACTCCAATTTTATGGCATCCTGCCATTATTAAATTTTAACTATAGTATGTCTAGTTATCTCTTAGTAAAATTTGAAAGAATTGATGCTCTCCCTAGGATGGTTATTGATCCAAGGGGAAGTGCTAGATGTCTTCTACTACCTGGCTAAAAATATATAAACTAATCTACATGAATACATGGTTCACTAAAGGTATTCTAAAATAAGTTCATATTCTGAAAAAAGAAACCTGATTCTAGATTTGGAGGACAAAATGGGAAAAGCCAGACAGCCAATCCATTATTTATATGTTATGGAGATGGAGGCCCCAAACATGTTTAATGATTTACTCAAGAGTCACAGAGCTACTTATTGGCAAGCTGTCATTCAAGCTCAAGATTCCTGACTATTGTATATTAACTGACTGACTTTAAATAAAAGTTGGCAGCATTTAGTAATTACTGAGAAAAGCTCAGAAATGTTATTGCCTTCAACTCTCTCTCTCTTTTTTTTCCACAGTGAAAGGAATGGTGTTGAAATGGTCTTAAATGAAGAACACATTGTATTTAATTTTATCCTTTTGAGCAGGGGAGACTTTAGCTTTCATGGCTCCTGGGGATGAAAGAAATAACGGGAGTGTTATTTCTTCTTCCTTTACTCTTTCTTCCCTAGTAATCCACCCCCTCCTAAGAGTAACATTGCTTCATAGAGACCAGGTGTGTATTTCTTTCCAGTTCCAAAGAAACACAAGGGTAAGATGTTTATGCAAAGGGACTTTCTGCCATAATACATCCTTAGTTCTTGCCATAAGTACATTGGAAAGGAAGGATAAAATGGGTTCCCTTATCTGTAGTCAAGAGATTTCCAAGTTCCTAGAAGAGAAGAGCTAATGATTAAGTACACAAAAGTTTGTGTATGTATATATGCTTATATTAAGTGTCAAGTTGTCTTGGAGACAGTGAGTTTCTGCTTTATAAAAATTTAAGATCTATTTCCACAAATTTGTTTTGCAGACCTTTTCAGAGGCAGTTAGATTTAATGTGGATTATGGAGTTTTTGAAATAGTTAACAATGCTCCACAACTTCTAGAAAAGCAACTGAAAAAAATTCTTCGAAACCAGCAACCTCGAAATCCCATCTATGATGTTGTAAGGAAAGGAAGGAATGATATTAAACCTGTTCAGATGAATGCCCCCTATGAAGATGAGACCATTAATGTCAACTACAATATTATGGTAAGAAAGTATATTTGAGTTTGTATCTTCCTAGGTAGATATAAAGCATTAAATAAGACTAACATGAAGTCTCTTGGGCTTGACCTTCTGAAATGTAACTATATTTATTAAGTTTTATTGTACTTTTACATCATCATATTTGTTAGTTACTGTATCATTCATGTCAAATGGCCAATTTAATCTAGCAGTTTGATTTTCAGTATGAGAAGATTCATATAATTTCCTTTGAATATTTAGGATATCAGGTTAATTTGGAGCAGTAGAAATTTGAGTATCCTTTATAGTTTGTATGCATTCTAGAAAATGTGGGTATACAGTGAATTTATCTGATTTGGAGTCTATCCTGACAAAGCAGCTGGGAATTATGACTTCTGACCCTCAAGTTACACTATGTAACTCTGACCTCCCTGGCCTTATTTCTGCTCTCAGATTTTGGATTTTGTCTCCTTAGCATGAGATTAACAACAACAACCCTTGGTTCTAACCTTAGCACTTTAACTTATAAGCTGTGTTCTTGAACAAGTCATTTTGATGAACTTTATTTTCATCACCTGTCAAATGATGCCTTTGCTACCTACTACTTAGGTTTGTTATGTGGCTCAATTGAAAATAAAATGAATGTTTAATATTTTCCATGATTTGAAGTGTCTGATGGAACTAGGCTAAAATATTTTGAAAAATTACAACATAGCTCTTTTCCAGCCTGAAAGTTCTTCAATGTGTCTTTTACTGAATTCCAGTTTTTTCTTGTTTTTTCATCAAATTAAGTACGTTAATGATAATAGTATTTAAGATACTTTTATAAATACTAAAAATAAAAAGCTATGTTATAGCATTGTTTTGAAGTTTAAATAAGAAAATATATTCTGGGGGCAGCCCCAGTGGCGCAGCGGTTTAGCGCCGCCTGCAGACCCAGGATCGAGTCCCACGTTGGGCTCCCTGCATAGAGCCTGCTTCTCCCTCTGCCTTTGTCTCTGCTTTTCTCACTCTCTCTGAATAAATAAATAAATAATATTTTTTAAAAAAGAAAATATATTCTGAACTATAAAGCACCATATAAATTGTTAACATTCATTCATGATAAAAACTTAACAAAGTAGTTTTTTTTTTTTTCCGAGAAGGCTTTATTATTACAGGGGTGGGGAGGGGGGGTACAAAGTAGTTTTAGAGGGAGCATACCTCAACATAATAAAAGCCATATGTGAAAAACCAACAGCTAGCATCATCCCCAATGGGGAAAAATTGAGAGCTTTACCTCTAGAATTAGGAATAAGACAAGGATATCCCCTCTCACCACTTTTATTCAACATGGTACTGGAAGTCCTAGCCACAGCAATCAGGCAAGACAAAGAAATAAAAGGCATCTAGATTGGTAAGGAAGAAGTATAACTTTCAATATCTGCAGATGACCCCACCAAAAGACTACTAGAACTGATGAATAAATTCAGTAAAGTTGTAGGATACAAAATTAGTAAACATAAATCTGTTGCATTTCACACAACTCACACCTAATAAAAACTCATTAAAAAATAAATTGCTTAAACTTGTTAAAGGCTATTCAAAACCAATAATAAACACTGTACATGGAAATACTATAACCATTTCCATTAGATCATAAGAAAAGAAAAAGTATATCTTTAAGCTAATTCAAAATTATTTTAGATTTCCTTGACAAAGTTTAAACACAATAAATGTAATTACTATCAATTTGCAAGAGTAAACTAAATTGTCTTTATTTGTGAATTAATAAATAACTTAAATGGTTTTTTAAACTGGAGTATTACAACAAAATCCAGGAAAATTTTTATGTAAACTTAGCATGTGAGTCACCCCCCCCCCCATGAAGTTAAAGGACTCCAGAGTCCTCAAAATAATCAAAAAACAAACCTGGACACCAGAATTATTTCACATGATACAAAGTTAAAAACCAATGATTTAGAAAAAAAGTTTTGGAAGTATGAGGAAAAGTATTTTACTTAATTTCTTACCAATCTTATCCAAGAAAAAGACAAGGAGTTCAATAAAATAATTGAAGTAATTCAACAAACTATTTACAAGAGTGGAATTAAAATAGAAAATGAGCAGATAAAATATATTTAATCACACAAATTATCATAAATATGCAAATTGTAAGTACAGCCAGATACCTTTTTTTTTCAGATACCATTTTTTAAGATGTTAAACTGGCATATAATTTTTTTAAATTCATTTTAATTTTTATTTATTTATGATAGGCACAGAGAGAGAGAGAGAGAGAGAGGCAGAGACACAGGCAGAGGGAGAAGCAGGCTCCATGCACCGGGAGCCCGACGTGGGATTCGATCCCGGGTCTCCAGGATCGCGCCCTGGGCCAAAGGCAGGCGCCAAACCGCTGCGCCACCCAGGGATCCCCAATTTTTTTAAATTCAATTAGCCAACATATAGTACATCATTAGTTTCAGATGTAGAATTCAATAATTCATCAGTTGCATCATCATATGATGATGCTCATATGCAGTGCTCATCATATGTGAAATTGGCCTACAACTTTAAAAAATAATAACATCTAGTGTTGGTAGAATATTAATTGCTACAATCTTTGGGGATTAATCTGACAAAATTGATAAAACTTAAAAGTACTGTGACTTATGCCTGGAAAGCCACTTTGGGATTTTTATTCCATACAAATAAGTGTGTATGTATAGGAGCTGATTGCAGCATTGAACAAGAGTATAAATATATTATATGTTTATCAATAGAAGAACTATGGAATATTATATAACTATTAGAAAGAATTTGTTTGAACTGTGTCTATTGTCCTGATGAGATAGATGCACATGTTGTGTTGTTCAAAGGAAAAATCAAGTTGTAAATTAAAGTATATAATATGGTTCAGTTTTTATATAAAATAAATTCTACACAAGAGTTCCAAAAAAAATCTGTTGCATTTCTATACACTAAAAATGAAGTAGCAGAAGAAAACAATACCATTTATAATTGCACCAAAATAATAAAATACCTAGGAATAAACCTAAGCAAGGAGGTGAAAGACCTATACTCTGAAAACTATAAAACACTGATGAAAGAAATTGAAGAAGATACAAATGGCAAGATACTTTATGCTCATGAATTGGAAGAACCAATATTGTTAAAATGCCCGTATTATCCAAAGCAGGCTACAGATTTAATGCAGTCCCTCTCAGAATACCAACTATGTTTTTCACAGAATTAGAACAAATAATACAAAAATTTGTGTGGAGCCACCAGAGACTCTGCATAGCCAAAGCAATCTCAAGAAAGAACAAACCTGGGCAGCCCTGGTGGCGCAGTGGTTTAGCGCCGCCTGCAGCCCAGGGCGTGATCCTGGAGACCCTGGATCGAGTCCCATGTCAGGCTCTCTGCGTGGAGTCGGCTTCTCCCTCTGCCTGTATCTCTGCCTCTCTCTCTCTCTGTGTGTCTCTATGAATAAATAAATAAAATCTTTTTTTTTTAAAAAAAGAACAAACCTGGAGGTATCAAAATCCCAGATTTCAAGATATATTACAAAGCTGTAGTAATCAAACACTATGGTAGTGTGTGGAGGCCGAGAAAAATTAAGGCCATCCCACCTAAAGTTTAGCATTAGCACAAGTACAGCCATCTTAGGCCCCTGTGAATGGGAAAAACTGCAGAATGTCCTCAATGTCCTCGAATGTCCTCAATGTCCTCGGCAGAGAATCCCATATCAGAAAGACAACAGAGCCCAAGCCCGTGGTAGAAAATCCCATATTAGAGTGAGAACAGAGCTCAATGCCCTTGAAAGCCCCATATCAGAATGTAAACAGAACTTGAGAAATTCCTCCATCCCTTCTGAAAATCCCCCAGACCAGCCTATAAAAAAACCCAGCTGTAACCCACTTCGGGGTCCAAGTCCCTGCTCCGCAGTGTCGGGTGCACTTGGACCCAAGCTCGAGCTTGCTAATAAACCCTCGTGCGCTTGCATCGGTGTCAGCTCCTTGGTGGTTTCTCGGATTCGCAATCTTGGGCACAAGTGGCACAGAAATAGACACATAGATCAGTGGACTATATAATAGCTCAGAAACTCTCCTTTGTATGGGTCAGGTAATCTTTGATAAATGAGGCAAGAATATACAATGGAGAAAAGACAGTCTCTTCAATAAATGGTGCTGGGAAAGCTGGACAGCAGCATGCAAAAGCATGAAACTGGACTACTTTCTTACACCAGACACAAAATAAACTCAAAATGGATTTAAATGTGAAATCTGAAACCATAAAACTCCTAGAAGAAAACCATAGGTAGTAATTTCTTTGACATTGGCCATGGAAACATTTTTCTAGGGATACCGCCTCAGGCAAGGGAAACAAAAGCAAATTAAAATACTGAGATTACATCAAAATAAAAAGCTTTTGCACAGCAAAGAAAACCATCAATAAAACAAAAAGGCACCTACTGAATGGGAAGAGATACTTGCAAATAGTATATCCAGTAAGGGCTTAATATCCAGAATATATAAAGAATTTATACAACTCAACATCAAATAAACAATCCAATTAAAAAATAGAAAGGGAATCCCTGGGTGGCTCAGCGGTTTAGCGCCTGCCTTCAGGCCAGGGTGTGATCCTGGAGTCCCAGGATTGAGTCCCACTTTAGGCTCCCTGCATGGAGCCTGCTTCTCCCTCTGCCTGTGTCTCTGCCTCTCTGTGTGTGTCTTTCATGAATTTAAAAAAAAAAAAATCTTAAAAAAAATAGGCAGAGGACTCTGGAAAATAGTATGGAAGTTCTTCAAAGACTTAGAACTACCCTATGATCTAGCAATTGTACTACTAGGTATTTATCCAAAGGATACAAAAATAATAATTTTAAGGGATACATTCTTCCCATGTTGTGCCCAAGATTGCGAATCTGAGAAACCACCAAGGAGCCGACACCGATGCAAGCGCACGAGGGTTTATTAGCAAGCTCGAGCTTGGGTCCAAGTATACCCGACACAGCGAAGCAGGGACTTGGACCCCGAAGTGGGTTACAGCTGGGTTTTTTATAGGCTGGTCTGGGGGATTTTCAGAAGGGGTGGAGGAATTTCTCAAGTTCTGTTTACATTCTGATATGGGGCTTTCAAGGGCATTGAGCTCTGTTCTCACTCTAATATGGGATTTTCTACCACGGGCTTGGGCTCTGTTGTCTTTCTGATATGGGATTCTCTGCCGAGGACATTGAGGACATTCGAGGACATTGAGGACATTCTGCAGTTTTTCCCATTCACAGGGGCCTAAGATGGCTGTACTTGTGCTAATGCTAAACTTTAGGTGGGATGGCCTTAATTTTTCTCGTTTTCTGACTACAGGATCCAAGTGTCCTTCACATCTCACTCATAAGCAATAATACCATCAACAAGATGCTACTGTTCAGGTGCTGCCTGCTTCCAAAGTTTCTTCTGTTTTTTGTTTGTTTTTCTCATTACCCGGAAGATAATCTTTGGGGAGGGCAAATGGGTATTTTGGGCTGAACAGAAGGAAACCATTGTTCCCTCAGTTTTCCATCCTTGGGGAGCCTAATGACTTCATGCCATCTGCAAGCAGTGTTGAGCACAGGTGCATGCTCAAGAACATCAGCTTGTCAGATGTTGGCAGCACTACTCTGTGGGCCTTTAATTTCCTCTCTGGAGTTCACAGCGGTCTGTGTTGACTGATGTTAATATCACAGCCCAACTGTTGCTTGAGCAGATAATCAATGGAAGTCACATAAATGCAGACACACTTGCCTCAGACTTGCGCTACACTGGTTGTTTCACTTATCCAGTAGCATTTGTGGAGTGGGCAAAGTATGGACGTTCTTTAGAATTCTGGGAAAAAAGTGAATATAAGACAAAAGAGAATCGATAGTGAGGAAATATAGAATGAACAGCAGCTCAGGAACTCTTAAGCTGGCTCTCACAACCTCCACACAAAATCTAAACTCCTTAATGTCATCTAAAGGATAATTCATAATTAGGCCTGCCGGCTTCTCCAGCTTGCTTCCCTCCTTTCCTGAGATCTCACCCTGCGATCTAGTCATACTAAAATTATCTTTGCTTCCTCTCCTGATCTTCTCTTTACCAAGATAATCATGTGTCAGGTCAAAGATTGAGTGGCATGTTCTTTGAGAAACCTTTGCTAGGTTTAGTGCCTGAGGGCCCTTCCATAGAAGCCCGAACTTGCAGCACTCACTGCTCTCTACTACTATTGAATTACTTGTAAACTCATTAAAGGTGGGACCTTATCTTTCTTATTAACCTTAGTGTCCCCAGGAGAGTGACCGGGGATGTTAAATATTTAACCAAATTTTCTAAAATTGGAAGGGCAGGGGCCTGTAGAGAGTGACCATAGTGGCCTTACCAAGTGTCTGGTTAGCTCTTTTTTTGGTTTGTGATTACTTTTAACCCATTTTGTGACTGTGAAAATACCGAGCATGACTTTTTTCCTCATACCTCTCCTTCAATAAGTTACTTGACTCCTCTGGATTCAGTTTGTTAATCTGTAAAATGGGGTTAATCATTGACGCAGGGCTGTTGAGAGAATAATGCCAGAAGGTAAGCAGTGGCTTCAAATGTGTGACTCAGAGGTTCTGCTCTCTCTCGTGCACACAGAAGATAGAGGCAGCGGCTCCTGGTAATAGCTAGAGGTCATTATTGCTCTAGTGCTCTTAATTGTTTGGAAAGGTGATTTTCTTTGACTCGTTTCCTTTTTCACCTGCTCTCTAATAGTGTCTCAGTCGCGAAGAAGGTATTGAGTGGATCAAAAAAGAAAGACTTCCAGCATTTCTGGAAAGTGATTGTTACTTTGAATACAGGTACTGTAGCCCTGTCAGCAAGCCTATTTTTTAATTGCCTGGGTTTTTTTTTTTTCACCAAGAATCATTTTTCTGTACGTTCTTAATAAAATTGTATACTTTAAAACCCACTAGCGTTGGGCAGCCTGGGTGGCTCAGCGGTTTAAGCGCCGCCTTCAGCCCAGGGTGTGATCCTGGAGACCCGGGATTGAGTCCCACATCAGGCTCCCTGCATGGAGCCTGCTTCTCCCTCTGCCTGTGTTTCTGCCTCTCTCTCTCTCTCTCTCTCTCTCTCTCTCTCTCTCTCTCATGAATAAATAAATAAAATCTTTAAAAAAATAAACAAAAATAAACCCACTAGCATTTGTATCTCACCTGCTATAGTTTCTGAATGACAGAGCATTTGTAAAAATCACTTTTCCAAAGAATTCTCACAGAAATAGTACCTAATAAATGTACCTCAGTTGTGCTTCTTGATCATTATGGTTTTAAAATTATCTACTTGTGATAATGGTATTTATGTGCAGGCTGTTAAAAAAAACAAATATAAGTATGTCATGAAAAAATATTTTAAGTGGGCCAAGTTTTTCTTTTATGTTCCCTGACTTTTAATGTGTAAGTACCTAAATATTCTGAAATTTTACTAAAATTTGACATATACTTAGAACCACCATTTAAAAAATAACAGTAAAATAAATTAGAACAGAATAGTTATTAATTAATAGTTCTGCGAATAAGCCATTCATTTTAGCAGATCCTAAGAGAATCATGCAGAGGGAGGAGATTGACTTGAAAAAACAAAATTTTAGGTTTTCTTTTCTGAATTCTCTATATTTGAAACTTACTTCAAATTTGTATGATTTCTAAAATGCAGATTAGCCAAATTGGTCTCACAAGTAAGATGGAGTGGATCCGGCATGAACATCACAGTCAATACAGAATTTTCTCCCTGGGTCCTGAGAAAACCACCCAGTCCACCACCACCTGTTGTTGAAGAAGACAATGTTATAATTATGAAAAAGTTCTACATTTCTCTTGGCGAGGTAAAAGTATGAGTGTATCTTCATGATTTGGCGCTTCAAAAGACTTCTCATTTTAGGGGGAGGAATTTCTTTTGTACCACTTGAACAGGGGAAATGACTTCAAGTACTTTTAAAGCAGATTTAGCAAAACTTTTTGTGGGTTTATGCTGACTCCTTTGCTCTGTACTCTTTCACCTGAAATGTAATTGGTATTATTTTCCTCATGTGTACAGAGGAACAAATGCAAGACTGAAGAACATGCTCAGTGTCACCTGGAAAGCAAGAAAGGATACCTTGAATTACATCCATGGTTTCATTGTTCACTTTTAAAATTTTCACTATTTGGAGTCTACAGTTTTTTATACCAAATGATGGCAAATTGGGTCTTCTCCTCCCTGTTGTCAAGATTATTCCTCAGTAGTAAAAATGCATTACTGTTTAACCATTATCAGATAAATTCTGATAATGGTTATCAGATAATCATTTCTGATAATGGTTATCTGATAATCATTTCTCCTCCATGGAGAAATGTTGGGTTGTAAGAGTGCATTTAAAGAGATCTAACCTAGAATCAAATGTCCTTTTGGACAGTCATGGTGTAATAAAAACCATTGTTTGATCTCTGAATTCTAATTGTCAGGTCTTCTTTCTGGGAACACATTTCCTATATACAATCTGTACAAAACCAGGAATTGCAAATATGTGGCCCATGTGTTGCTCTTCTCTTAGTTTCCATTCATGACAGACATTGCTAATCAATCATGGCAATTTTCCTGCTGAGCTAGGACTTGGTTCCAAATTCTTTTCAACACAGCCCTCTAGGCAAGCATTTCCAATTGATCAAAGATGTCGTACAAAAGGAAAACTATTTGCCATCTCTGTTGGAATAGATAGACTTAACCTATCTTACCTGAGCACTTTTTTTTCATGTATAGTTTCTGTTTAATTTTGTAGTTTGGCATTTCTATCTGTAATATTTGGGGAAAATGTTTGAAATTTTGCTACTTGCATTATTTCCAATGAGCTAATGCTAGGGATATATGTTTTACTTCTCTCTTATACTTATTTTTAAGTATTTTTTTTTCCTGTTAACCTACGTATTATAGAAATATCAAGAATGTCATAAAAATATGTGTTGGTGTACAGGTCAGTAAACATACAATGGGAAGAATCAATTTAGGGAAACAAGATCTGATTCCTTACATGTAAATTAAGTTGAATATAAGAGAGTAAAACTTAAACTAGTTTACTTTTGCTATTTTCTATGATGAAAAAACTCATTTCTGTCCACTTGAGTAATACGTTAACTATTTAATATCTTTTTAAAAAAGATTTATTTATTTATTTATTTATTTATTTATTTATTTATTTATTTATTTTAAAGAGAGACAGTGAGTGAGGGAAAGGGCAGAGGAGGAGGGAGAGGAACAAGCATACTCCTAGCTGAGCATGGAACCTGACATGAGGCTTGATCTCACCACCCTGAGCCAAAATCAAGTGGTGGATGTTCAACCCACTGAGCCACCCAGTTGCCCCACTAATATCTTCTTAATAGCTTTTGAATTTTGAGGATTCAAAATTCTTTGAGCCTTTCAATCATTTAAATCATGACTGTAGACAAAGATTAATTTTTGTGATGACAGTTGGTAATATTTCTGTGAGTCTTCGTTATACCATCTAAACACAAGCAATTGATTCATCTCTTAAGAACATTAAGTGGACTAGTTACCTATGTTTATGTCTGACTGACTACTTACTACTCCTCTCCTAATTTTTAATCTGCAATCTTTTTCGTGCACTTGAAATAGCAAGGACTTTTGTTTATTGGCCTCTCTCAATTCCCTGATAGTTCTTCATTATTTGGGTCTTCTCTCAGTGCTTAGGATACTGCTTGGAATAGAGTAGTCACTCAATAAATACATGTTGAATGAATCTGTAATTAATAATAAATGGCTTGGAAAAAATAAATAATAAATGACTTGGTTTTAAAGGAGGAAAAAAGGGACCAAAAGGAAATTAGAGTCTTTAAAAGCTTTTATCCACACAGGAAACCTTTCTTCTAAGAGGGGCAGTAACAATCTATATGTGACACTTTTCATTTCTCTCTCTTGCTTTTTGGTCTCATTGTGTGGCCTGACTTGCCCTGCTTAATTCTGTATCATAGTCAGAGAACAACATCTATTCCATTTGAGCCCTGCCTCTCTTGTGAGTCTTTCTGAGGCTAAGGGTCACCCAGCTGACTCAGTTGGAGAAAGGAGAAATGAGACACTCCTTTCTCTGCTTTTGTTGAACAGTTTGGATTATCTTAGAAAGATCATGAGGATGTTACTGAGAGAGGCAGGCAGAGCAATTTGAGAAGCTGAGAAGAGGGCTTCTCAGGACTGGGGTTCTGAAAGCTGAGGGTCAGCTTGGGAATTGGGTCAGCTGGCTCAGAGGTACAGGAAAAATTGAAGGCTACATGCAGGGGCAGATGGAGTCAGGAATCAGTCTTCAGGAAGCATACAATCCAAGCAAAGCTGTGAAAACTGAATCTAAGGCAAAGGGGCAGTTGAGCATGGGGAGGTCTTTAGTGCCCCTGAGAGTAAGTCTGTCATGTTAGGGAGGTGTTGTAAAAAACACAGAGTCAGATTGGACAGAATTGGGGGAGGAAATAATTTGGAAGTTGTAAATGGGAATAGCTTGCAGAAGAGGCAGCCAATGACGGATGAGCTATGGGACTGCCAAGATACAGTTAGATGTCATGAACCTGTAACGGAGCCATGAGGTAGGGTGCATGCTTCTGGTGGAAGAGTGAAGGATTTGATGTGTATGGGCTCATTTTTACCTTCGTCATCTTTTTTTAAAATTTTTTAATTTTTTTTACCTTCGTCATCTTATATCCAAATAATCTGAGTTGAAATTTCCTCCCCATTATTCTCAGCTAATGAATTTTTCTGTGTACAACATTCTTTTCTTTCATGGCATGATTTTCCCTTTCATACTGTACTATGTTATAATGATGTGTTGAGATTCCTGATTGGGAGAACACTGCTAATCTTACATTAAACAAAGGTGCTCCTTTCTTCCTAGGGCTCCTATACTCAAACAAAAGATTGGTTTGCATTAGCAAAACAAAGTTTGCAAACAGTACCAACATTTTCATTACCATCTTGTGTACTCCACAGCAAACCTGAACCACCGGTTGTTTCATCCATTTCTGGTAAGCAGAAAGGACAAGAATGATTTTAGAACTCCTCTTTAAATCTTTTGTAATTGGTGTTCTAATCTTATAGTACAATACGTTGTGGTTGGGGAGAAAAAATAATCTGCATCTCTACCCCACCCCCACTTCACTTTCTACTGTTTTTATTTTTTTACTTTTATTTATTTATTTATTTATGATAGTCACACAGAGAAAGAGAGAGAGGCAGAGACACAGGCAGAGAGAGAAGCAGGCTCCATGCACCGGGAGCCCGACGTGGGATTCGATCCCGGGTCTCCAGGATCGCGCCCTGGGCCAAAGGCAGGCGCCAAACCGCTGCGCCACCCAGGGATCCCCCTCTACTGTTTTTATTTTTAAAGATTTATTTATTTATTTGAGAGAGAGAGGGAGAGAGAAAGAGAAAGCAGAGGGAGGGGAGAGGGAGAGAGAGAATCTTAAGCAGACTCTCTGCTGAGTGTAGAGCGCAATATGGGGCTCCATCTCACAATCCTCACATCATGACCTGAGCCAAAATCAAGAATCAGATGCTTAACCGACTGAGCCACTAAGGTGCCCCTCTACTGTTTTTTGAGAGGCAACTTGACATAGGAAAAAGAGTGTGGGTTTAGATGGGTTAATACTTGTTAGCTAGCTGTGTGACTTTTTAAAGTTATTTCACTTCTTGAGAGCCTTGCTTTTCTCATCTGTAAGATTAGAATAACGATACATACTAAATATACGGTAAAGGCCTGGCCCAGCACCTGGTGCCTCATGGGCAGTCAGTAAATGTTTGTCTTGTCTCTACCTCCTATGACAGTTTACAAATTATTATTCAGTATTTGAATTTAAGTGGGTGCAACTGTCCTCTTAAAAGCATATTCATACAACTTGAGTTTTCCTTCTAAGTTAGACTGTTTTTCTCCTTGGAAAGCAGATATATTTCTACCATGGGGAACTTTTGTGGATGATATCAACTTTTCATAGATATATATAGAAGAAAACTTCCAGAAATGGGTGTCATTAACTTAGCAATTCACGAAGTTCTTACCTAAATTCTTTTGAAAAGTGTAAGCAACCTCTGAGGACAATAAATCTGGATTCTCTAGAATCTAAATCTAGGAATAGAGGAAAACAGTCTCCTTAATTGAAAATAGCTGAATTTATAGGTTTCTCACTGTTTCCCCCAAATAGTAAAGTAGAAAATCAGAGGGCCAAGATAGTGAAGATTGTAAACAGGAAAAGAACGGGTAGCAGGAAGGTGGTGAACAGAAATGTTAGCCTTTCTCTCTCCCTCCACTTCTGTGGGGTTGGGTGTATACCCAGTATCTTTCCGTAGGTTTACAAAAGTCTAGTCTTTTAATATAGGGGGAACTCCTTATTTTCATTTTCAATAAAAATTATAATAAAATATTTCCAGCTCATTGGGATTTGAAACCTATTACTGAGAAAATGGCTATTGAAGAGGGATACAGATAACAGTTTTCCTGCCCTATGGCATTTCAAGGGTTAGATTTGCCATGTGAGATAAAGCACATCAGATATTTTACTGATTTCTAAAGGAGAAAACAGGAGCTAAAGACTATATGTCTTTAGAAAAAGTAGAAAACAATCTGTATTTGTGAGCCTTCATGAGTACCTTATGCCATTTTGATGGTAGATTGTTAAGTATGATAGTAATTGAATCTTTCTTATAAAGTAGTGAATTTTTAAAAATTACTGACATGACTCCAGTTCTGATCTGTTTACTGATTGTCTAACTTTATTTATTTTTAAGATTTTTAAACGTTTATTTGAGAGAGAGAGAGCAAGTGTGAGAGGGAGCGTGAGAGAGAGCGTGAGACCACTCATGAGCACGGGGCAGGGGTAGAGGGAGAAGCAGACTCCCTGCTGAGCAGGGCACCCCACGTGGGACTCAGTCCCAGGATCGGATCAGGACCTGAGTCAAAGGCAGACACTTAGCTGACTGATCCGCCCAGGTGCCCTGTCTAATTTTATTTTATCTTACAGGTTGAAATATTAGAATACATACAATTGTTTAATGTGTATATTCTAATTATTTAATAGATTTGGCCTTTACATATTGACATTCTATGTCAGCCTAAATCATTACATTTTAGAAGTGCATGATGCCTTTTTGAAGATCCTCTGTATTAAGGATGTCAAATACTTAGTTTATCTGCCACTATTATCACCTTATCTGGCCAATCCTGCTGGCAGTTTTTTCTCTACTGGTACCACCTGTGGCTTCAGAACTCCTCCTTAAGCTACCTGAAGTCACTACCTGTGACAAATCCACTTACCATGCTGGCTCTGCAACATCTGGTTAATACTAAAAATAACTTTGTATTCATATCTGATCTGATCTAATAGCCTTTTATGATTTATTACAGAAAGCTTTATCTTTGATGATAGATTTCACCAAAGGACAAAAAGGGACTCATCTGAAACCATTAGATTAACTTCTCATTTTGAAGAAGAAGAAGATGGGTCTGTATCTGTACAAGACACTCCTTCTCAAGCCCTTCTAAGAATATACCTTGAGAGGCAACAGGATGCTGATGAAAGCCTTCCATTGCATTTCACAACATGTGAAGAATTTTTAAGATCTTATATAGACTTTATCTTGAGAGTAGCAATTCATCAAATTTTTGAAGAGCCACTTACAGAAAGTCCAGATTATATAAATTTCAACAAAGTAGCAGAAGTGGTGCTCGAGGAGGGTTTTGAGCCTCTCCATGGTAGGAATGTTTTAAATGAAACATTTCAAACCACAAATGAAAAGTCAGACAAGATGTTAGAACGAGCAAATTCAAAGAGTGAGAGCATTGGACCAGAAAGCAGGGCTGATTGGTGTATGCCTCACAAAGCTTATGATATTGGCAATAGAAAGGAGTTTGAAAGATTTAAGAAATTTATAAAAGGTACTTTAGGAGAGAGATATTGGTCATTATGGATGGATATTGAGAGGTTAAAAGTTCTTAAGGACCGCGGAAGACATCAAAGGTATGCCTAGTTTTTACTTTCAATAGTTTTTTTTTTTTTAATTACGGAATATTAGTTTGGGTCATTTAAGCACAGGCAGAAAGCCTGAAATAAAAATGAAAATGTAACTTATACTTTTAGAGGAATGAATAATAACATTTATTTTATTATAATAATAGTGATTTCACTAGTTCTTTGATTTTATAATTTTCAGATACAAATAGTGGCAATTGTTTGGGTTCATAAAATGTTTCTTCCCATAGATTCTAAACCTGCTTTCAAATCAATTGTTCTATTTTATTTTTATAACATTGTAGTGTTATATTTTTTTGTAGTGTTATATTTTTATATTTTTTTTTTCAGTTATATAACCACACTGAATTCAGATATCTTATATAAAAGGTCTTATGCCATGGTAAGAGATTACTGTTCCTAGCAGCCTGCTCAGTTAACAAATCCCATGATCTTTGTTTAGATGCCACTTAGACATTCATATCTGAATAACATATCTCCTAGATATCTTATATCCTCTAGAGAGCCTCCTGGATGTCTCATGGGTCCAGGTCCTTGTTTGGCTACCCTATATGTTTTAGATTACTGTGTAAGTCTTAAGAACCTTAAGAGGGAGGATCCATGGATGGCTCAGCGGTTTAGTGCCTGCCTTCGGCCCAGGGTGTGGTCCTGGAGTTCAGGGATCGAATCCCAGGATCGAGTCCCACATTAGGCTCCCTACATGGAGCCTGCTTCTCTCTCTGCCTGTGTCTCTGCCTCTCTCTCTCTCTCTGTGTGTGTCTCTCATGAATAAATAAATAAAATCTTAGAAAAAAAGAACCTTAAGAGGACCCTGCTTTAGGACCCTGTTCTCCTTTCTGCTCTGAAGCAGACCAACTACAGTTGAATGCAATTCCCAGTAAGGGTTTGACTGAGTATAGACTAGTAACTGGGTTATTCCAGTTATTTCCATGGCATTCAGATCATAGACCTCATTGTTGTACGTACTTATAGGATCAGGAGTTACCAAATGGCTGATTGTGAAGCTATGGCTTGATTGATCATGAAGTTGAAAGCCACTACCACTTTTCAAGATATATACAAGCAACCTATATAAGTTCTTCAGGATCAATACTGTATTAGTTTGTATTATTGCTGTAGTAGATTGCTACAAATGTAATGGTTTTTAAAGCAACACAAATTTATTCTGTTACATTTTGGAGATAGGAAGTCTGAAACAGGTGGGCAGGGCTACATTTTCTCTGGAGGCTCTAGGGGAGAATCCATTTCCTTGCTTTTTTCAGCTTCCAGAGGTCATCCATCTGCTTTCTTTGGTTTATGGCCTTTCCTCCATCTTCAAGCCAGCAATATAGCATCTTCTCTTTGACCTCTGCTTCTATCCTCACATCTTTTCTCAATGACTGACTCTCCTGACTCCCTCTTAGAAGGACCCTTGTAATTACAGTAGGGTCATCTAGATAATCTAGGATATTCTTCTTAAAATCATAATCACATCTCCAGAATGCCTTTGATCATGTAAGGTAACAAACATTCAGAGGTTCTGAGGATTAGGACATGGACATCTTTGGAAGGCCATTGTTCAACCTACCAAAAACACTTTTCCTGTTCCCATAATTGTAAGAAATATTTTTATCTCCACATTGGTACTTCTGTAACTCATTGTTGGTTTGAGATAGTTCATTGCTTGTCTGAAACATTTTAGAAGTGAAAACATTTGACTTGTTGAATGTTGTAGCAATGTGTGTGGATGTGTTTTGTTTTAGACATCTTGAGAAGATGAAAAAATTCTATCTAGTGAACAATGGAGATTGCTATCTTTCTACAGAAATATTATCAAAATTTAAACTGCTAGATGCATCTCAGTGGAATGAAGAACACTTAAGAAATATTCAGACAGAGGTTGTAAAACCATTACTTCTATATTGGTAAGATAAACAATGTAGATCAAACATATTTGCTTTTACTTTTCCTAGATGAGTTACAAGTTATACTTTTTTGTCTTACTGATTTATAATTTGTGGAAATTTAAAATCACAAGATAACTGTATCTTTCACCTTCCTTAAAGGATTTACCCTTTAGATAATTTGGAGATTTGGGGGACTTTAATCTGTAATAAGGCTGGTCAATATATAAGTTCCATTTTAACTTGTGAGCACATCCTTCTCCACCTGACCTTTTTACAGTCAGTATCTTAATTGGTGTGTTTGTGTGTGTGTGTGTGTATGTGTGTTTACATCTTGATACAGTTATGGATTTTTCATCTCAATAAATATATTTTAAGTACTTATGATAGGCCACATGCTTGTACTAAGGATAAATGGTAAACTATAGATAATTCTAGTGTTTACAGTCTATAAGAGGAACACACATGGGAAATGAGTATAATAAAAGAAAGTGTGGTGAACACATACAATACAGAGGAGAGGCAGTTTTTTACTTGGGACTTGAAGGACTCTAAGGAAAAGAGAGGGGACATAGTGGAGAAAATCTATGCCATTTGAGGATAATTGAGCTGCTTTGAGGATGTGATGGAAGTGATTATGTCACTTTTCTGCTTGAAATCTTTTCCACAGCTTTCAGTGTAGCATTCAAATGCCTTAAGTTAGCAAGTAAGGTCATCATAATTTGCCCCTCACCCACTTCTTCGGCATCATCTCCCATCTAGGTATTTCAGATTACTTAGATGCTTTGCACTTTTCTATAGATAGATAGATAGATAGATAGATAGATAGATAGATAGAATGTTGTTTTTCTCTTTCTTTCTTTTAAAACTTAAATATGTCCACTTTCACCACTGATATTTAACCTAGTCTCAACTGGAAGGCCTGGCCTCAGTGATCAGACAACAAAAAGAAATGAAAGGCATCTAAATCAGCAAAGAAGTAGTAAAACTTTCACTGTTGGCAGATTACATGATACTCTATATAGAAAACCTGAAAGACTCCACTAACAATTTGCTAGAACTGATACACAAATTCGATAAAGTCACAGGATATAAGAACAATGTCCAGAAATCTGTTGCATTTCTATACACCAATAATGAAACAGCAGAAAGATAAATTAAAGAATCAGCCCCATTTACAATTGCACCCAAAACCATTAAATACCTAGGAATAAACCTAACCAAAGAGGGGAAAGACTTATACTCTGAAAACTATAAAATACTAATGAAAGAAATTGAAGAAGACATAAAGAAATGGAATAGCATTCCATGCCCATGGATTGGAAGAAGAAATATTGTTAAAATGTCTATACTAGGGACACCTGGATGGCTCAGTGGTTGAGCATCTGCCTTCGGCCCAGGGCGTGATCCTGGAGTCCCGGGATTAAGTCCCACATCAGGCTCCCTGCATGGAGTCTGCTTCTCCCTCTGCCTGTGTCTCTGCCCCCCTCTCTCTCTGTGTGTGTGTGTCTCTCATGAATAAATAAATAAAATCTTTTAAAAAAAATGTCTATACTACCCAAAGCACTCTACACATTTAATGCAATCCCTATCAAAATACCACGAGCACTTTTTGCAAAGCTAGAACAAACAATCCTAAAATTTGTATGGAACCATGAAAGACCCCAAATAGCCAAAGCAAACTTGAAAAAGAAAAACAAAGGTGGAGGCATCACAATTCCAGACTTCAGGTTATATTACCTGTAGTGATCAAGACAGCATGATACTGGCATGAAATAGACACATAGAATAGAAAACCCAGAAATGAACCCATAACTACATGGTCAATTCATATTTGACAAATCAGGAAAGAATATACAATGGAAAAAAAGACAGTCTCTTCAACAAATGATGTTGGGAAAACTGGGCAGTAACATGCAGAAGAATGAAATTGGACCACTTCTTACACCAGACACGAAGATAAACTCAAAATGGACAAAAGATCTAAATGTGAGGGGCATCTGAGGGGCTGTGTCATTTAAACATTTGCCTTCAACTGAAGGTTGCTGGGATCAAGCTGCTTTTTCCTCTCCCTCTATCCCTCTCCCTGCATGAGAGAACTCATGTTCTCTCTTTCTCAAATGAATAAATAAAATCTTTTTTTAAAATGTAAAAAAATCAAATAAATGTGAGACAAGAAACCATCAAAATCCTAGAGGAGAACACAGGCAGCAACCTTTTTGACATCAGCCATGGCAACTTCCTTCTAGGAATGTCTCATGAGGCAAGGGAAACAAGAGCAAAAATAAACTGTTGGGACTAAATCAAAATAAAAAGCTTCTGCACAGCAAAGGAAACAATAAAATTAAAAGGCCACCTATGGAATGGGAAAAGATATTTGCAAACGACATATCTTAAAAAGGGTTCATACCCAAAATATATAAAAATAACTTAAAAAAACCCAACCCCCCCCAAAATGAATAATCCAATAAAAAAATGGGCAGAAGACATGAATAGACAGTTCTCCTAAGAAAACATCAGATGGCCAACAGATACATGATAAGATGCTCAACATCTCTCATCGTCAGGGAAATGCAAATCAAAAATACAATGAGATATCCACTTCACACCTGTCAGAATGTGAATCCTTTGAGAATCCATCCAAGTTGATAAGCATATCAATACTTTTTTTTTTGCATCGCTAAGTAGTACTCTGTTCTATGGATGTTACACATCCATTCACCCACTGAAGGACATTAGGGATGTTTCCACTCTTTCACTATTACTAAGTAAGTAGCTTTGAGCACTCACGGACAGGTTTCTGAATGAACATAAGTTTTCATTTTGCTGGGGTAAATGTCTAAGAGTGAGGTTAGTGGGTCACATAGTCCATTTTTAGTTTTAAAAGAAACTGCCAAACTATTTTCCAAAGTTGATGTACCATTTTACATTCCCACCAGCAATGCAAGAATGATCCAGTTTCTGTGCATCCTTGTCATTGTTTGGTGGTGTCACAATTTTCTATTTTTAGCCATTCTGATATGTGTGCAGTGATAGTCTTTTGCAGTTCTCCAGTGATTAATGATGCTGAACATCTTTTCAAGTGCTCATTTGCCATTTGTATATCCTCTTCGGTGAAATATCTATTCAAGTCTTTTGTCTATTTTCTAATTGGATTTTTTTCTTTCTTATTACTGAGTTTTAAAGTTATTTTTGTGTTCTAGATACTAGTCATTAGCCAGACATGTAGTCTGCAAATATTTTCTCCCAGTCTTTAGCTTGCCTTTTTAAAGACAAGCTTTCCAAACACTTCTTAAAAGGGTCTTTCAGAACTTCCTGTTTGGTGAACATGTGGAGATTTGGGAAGAGTAGTGTGCTTACAGAGCACAGAAGCTTTGTGCTCCTTCCCGCATACCATATTCTATGCATCTTTTCCATATGGCTGTTCTTGAGTTCTATATTTTTATTTTAAAAATCTAGATTAAGCAAAACAGTAAAAATAATGTAGATAATGGGAACCAGAATTGTCATTGATTTGGAAAAGAGTTATAAATAGGAGAGAACAGAGTGAATCCTCTGGTGATGGCCTGGAATTGGAGATGCAAATGGAAAATGCAATTTTCACAAACCAAGTTACCATACTCAGTTATGAAGACCACAAATAACTGAAAAAACGGGACAAACCAAGCAGGACAAGCAACAGATGATCATGAAGACAAGAAAGGAAATAACTTGAAAGAGAAATTCATCATGTGTCAGATTTCCTCTGGGAGGGTGGTGTATTGGGGGACTATTTCTAAATGAAGGGTTCCAGGTAAGTTTCACTCCAAACATTTCATCAGGATAGAGGCAAAAAGGTCTTGAGGCAAGTTTATTCAACTAACACGAATGTTCCTACAGAAAATGTTGCTGCCTGCACTATTAAGAACAAATATAACTAACCATGGGTGCCTGGGTGGCTTAGTCAGTTAAGCATCTGACTCTTGATTTTGGCTTGAGTTAGGATCTTGGGGTCCTGGGCTCAAGCCCTCCCTACCACCGGGCTCCATGCTCAGCATGGAGTCTGCTTGAGATTCTCTCCCTCCCTCTCCTCCTTCTTCCCCTGCTTTCTCTCTCTCATATATATATAAATAAATAAATATTTTTCCAAAAAGAATAGATATAACTATCTGAAAGAATAAAAAGGCAGGGAATTTTTCACAGAACAAATTTTTTAAAAAAGATTTTATTTATTTGAGGATGAGAGCAAGAGAGAGAGAGCCCGAGCAGGGCCGAAAGAGAAACAGACTCCCCACTCAGCTGGAGGCCTGATGTGGGGCTCAATCCCAGAACCCTGGAATCATGACCTAAGCCAAAGGCAGACACTTAACTGGCTGCCACTCAGGGGGCTCCCCCAGAGCAAAATTTTACAGTTTTGATGAGGTCCAATTTTTCAACTTATCCTTTTGTGGATTATGCCTTTGGTTTCAAACCAAAGAACTCTGCCTAGTTCTAGATCCTAAAGATTTTCTTTTATTTTTGTAAAACCTTTGTAACTTTATGTTTTTCGCTTAAGTCTGTGGTCCATTTGGAGTTAGTTTTTGTATAAGATTTTAGGTTTAGGACCAGGTTTAGTTGCTTTGTTTGTTTGCTTTTTTGTTGTTGTTGTTGTTGTTGTTTTTCGGTTTTGCCTATGGATATCCAATTGTTCGTCTTCACTTATTGCAAAAGCTTTCCCTCCTATTCCTTCTTTTCTATGTTTTACATTAACATCCAGGACGTCGAATTGTAAAGATTCATATAACCACCATGACATTCAAGTCACAATCTGTCACCCCCAAAACTCTCACACTACCCTTTTGTTGTTAAATTTTTTTCTCTACTCCTAACCCCTGGCAACCACTGATCTATTCCTTGTTACTACACTTTTGTCTTTTTGAGAATGTCATGTAAATAAAGCCATACAGTATGTAACCTTTTGAGTCTGATCTCTGCTGGTCAGCATAATGCCATCAAGACATAATGCATCCAAGTTGTTGCATGCATCATAGTTCATATTTTTAAATGTAGTTTTCCAGTTAATTGTTGGTCCATAGAAATATGATTGAATTTTGTGTGTAGTCAACAGTCAGCTGTTGATCCCAAATGGACCTGCTCTGCTTTTCCTGCTGTTTTGGTGCTCTTCCCTTTTCAGGTCTGGCAGACACTTCCTTCCACCTACATATCAACACCATCCAGGTCTTGTGGCTGACAGTAGTCTGTCCCTGCTACTTGTATTTTGGTATTTGTGGGGATATCTTGTCTTATCAACAGTCTGTCCTAAATGTAATCCATGAGTTTTCAGTTTTGCTATCTAGTTATACTGTTTTTATGGAGGGATTCTGAGAGGTAGAAAAATCAATATTGGCCACATTGTCATTTTCCCAGAATCCTTGGATTTTTTTTTAATCTAGCTAAAAATCCTGTGTATTCTTTAAATTTCAAACTAAAACAGTTTAATGAATATCGTGAAGCAAATACTTACGTAACCACCACGTGGGCTGGGAAAGAAAACATTGCCAAGACCTAAAGGTGCCTTATTGATCCAACATCCTCATTCCCCCTTGGAGGTAACCACTATCCTGACTTTTATGATTATCATCCTCTTTTCTTTATAGTTTTACCAACCATGTATGCAAATAAATCCCTAAACATATACTTTTGTCTGCCTGTTCTACAACTTTATATAAATGGTATCATGTTGTATGCAATCTTTTGTATCTTCTATCAGCATTACATATAAGAATGGTCTATAACTGTGTTTAATAGTTCTGATTTTCGTTGATGTATATTGGTATTTCACTGCATGATTACCATAATTACTACTATTTTTGACATTTGGCTTATTTCCTACCTTTTACAATTAAAGGCAGTGCTGTTGTGTATATTCTTGTACACATAGCCACTTTTCTACAGCAGGTGTACCCATTTATGCACTCTCAACAGAATATGAGAGTACCCATTGCTATAAATCCATGGTAGCACTTAATATTGTCAGACTTTTAAATTTTGCCCATGTATTTAGTGTGTCATTGGTGTCCTGTGATTATAATCAGCATTTCCATGAGTACTAGTGAGGCTGATAATCTTTTCAATGGTTGATTGATCATTTGGTCATTTGGATTTCAGTTTTCATGAATTGCTTATTTATCTCATTTGCCTATTTTTCTACTGGGATCTTTATACACATAAGTACATACAAACATATACATATACACACACATACACACATACACACATCATACTGACACAGTTCCTTTGATAGTATTATGTGACAGGTATCTTCTCCCACTCTCTAGAGTTTGAGAATTAAGATATTTGCAGTGTAGGGATCCCTGGGTGGCGCGGCGGTTTAGCGCCTGCCTTTGGCCCAGGGCGCGATCCTGGAGACCCGGGATCGAATCCCACGTCGGGCTCCCTGCATGGAGCCTGCTTCTCCCTCTGCCTGTGTCTCTGCCTCTCTCTCTCTCTCTCTCTCTCTCTCTCTCTCTCTCTCTCTGTGACTATCATAAATAAATAAAAATTAAAAAAAATTTAAAAAAAAGATATTTGCAGTGTACATAAGAACTTCTATGATGGAAGCATGAAAAATAATACAACACCAGTTTACGATTGTGAGATTTTTTCCACAATATCTGATGAATTTACATAGTGGCTAATGAAAAATTAATGCTATGAATGAAACTAATGTAAGTTTAAAATGGTAGGGGCAGCAGAGACTTATGGGGTCCAAATGAGTATAGTATAACGATGGAAATCAGAAAATTGAGACACCTAGATTTTCTGGTCAGCACATGTATGCTTTATTAGATAAGGATCTTGTAGATTCCTACTTACTGGTTGCCATGAAAATAAGAGATCATTTTTTATATTTCCAAGTCTGCAAGTAAAAGTTCTGAAATATAGTTAGAATGACCACCCAGATCTCTATACAGTGTTCTTTCTGAATCTAAACTAATTATGAACTTTGGATTTTCTTTCACTCCCAACCTGTGTTCCCATTAGGGGAATATCTACTTTCTTCCTATTTTAAAGGGAGGTAATTTCTTTTACTGGGACCTGAAATATGGAGTGAGAATTTGTCTGTAGGCTGTGGCATTGGGTAGTGGTGGGGAGAAACCCGTCCAAGCAGCAATTAGCATCAGGCCTGACAGCTGGGGTTAACTCTGTAACCAATAGAGTTAGCCCACAGACTAAACCAGGATATCCAATCCAATTAAGCGTGGCCTTGACATTGTGCCATACATTCTTTTTCCTGGGTTTCTGGACATAGTGTTGGTCTGTCATTTATATAAATTGTTATAAAACTAATTCTTATCTTCAACAAATTTAAGGCTTGAAAATAAAGCATATGAATAATAATCTACTTTAGTAGTTAATTAAACATAATTAAAATGTTTATACATTTTAAAATGTGAATTTCATCTACCAGTTTTTATTTGGTGTATTTATTTAGTATTTATTTAGATAAATACCAAACTACCTTAAAACGAACACAGATGCATTTTATGTTATTATTAGAAACTGTAAGTTATTTTTTAAAATTCCATCATCAACAGATATATAGATTTATTATCAAGCAGATCATAATTTGAATGTAAATTTATTATTTTTTTCCTAATGTATATTGCCTCTTATGTGAGTGAATGTAATTCCAGGTAGTTGATAAGTCATAGAAAAACATTTTTTTTAAAAGGTTAGGCAGCAGAAAAAAGTGGGAATTTTTAGAAAAAATATTTGGTAAGACATAATGGTGAGCACTGGCATTCTAGATTTTGCAGGCTTTTGATTTTTCAGGCTTATTGTCCAGCCTAATCTTGAATTTGTTTTTCCTTTGACTAGGGCACCAAGATTCTGTGTTACTCATTCATCCTCAGCTAAACAAGCTAGCGCTGAACTGAAATTCTGGCATCTCCGTCAAGAGAAACCAAGGAAGGACGTTGACCCTTTTCCACAAATGGCAACCCTCTTGCCATTAAGACCTAAATCTTGCATTCCACAGATATCTGATATGCAGGTAGGGTAGACATTTATACTTTGATTTCTTTATTAAGTTTATGGTAAAATATCCATGCTTGGGTTTTGTGCACCAATACTTAAGTTTTATCATAAGCTTTTTTTTTGGGGGGGGGGGAATTGTTAATGTGCATGCTGTAACAATGGGGAATTAAGAAAACCTATGGTCTGCTCTCCACTAAGCAGCCAAAGTGAGCCTTTAAAAATATTTGATCGGGTCACTCTCCTGATCTTGTCACATTTTGGAACCTACATTTTAATAGGATTCCTTGGTGATTGGTATTCAAAGCACTGCCTGTTGGTTCTGAAACTTCAGCATACACACACGTAAGAGTCACCCAAAGAGCTTGTTAAAATAGATTCCTGGGCTTCACTTGGATATCTAAAGTCAGGAGATCTAGTGTGGGGCCCATGGGTTTACATTTCCAACAAGTTTCCTCCCAGGCGATGATGCTCTTGCTGCTAGTTTGAGGACCACACTTTGAATTAGTGTCACTTTCGTGCGCTAATGGTTTCTTATCCATTTTTTATACTTTCCTGACCTCCTTTGCCTGCGTGGCTTTTTTTATGTGTGACTTCACGGATAAATCTAATCTTCCTCCATTCACCCATGTGACTAGTTAATATGTATCTTACAGGTGTAGTGTAGGGAGCACGTATTCTGATAATATGTAAATATCTGTACAAATCACATTTGAGATGTACAACATTTGAGAGGTAAGTGGCAAGATAGAGTAAGTGGTGTGGTTCCTGAAAAGGAGCTTGAAGGGGAGCAGTGCTGGACGAGTATGGAAAGATTGATCTCAGCTTAGGTCTTCATCCCAGGGTTGTGAGTCCAAGCACCAGGTTGGGCTCACATTGGTTGTGGAGCCTACTTAAAAAGTTAAGATGTGATTTGTATACAGTAAAGTTTACCCTTATTAGTGTACAGTTTTATGAATTTTGACAGACATGTTCATTGTGTAACTGCCATCACAGTCACAATATAGAACAGTTCCTTTATCTACCTTCCCAACCCCCAATCTACAGGGTCCTTTTGTTAGTTTTTTTCTCCATTAGTGATTTTCTGGATACTCTTCTAGTTTTCATCCAAGCCAGAAAGGCCTAAAATTTTAACTTAGGCTTTTCTCTGTATAATACACTTAATTTTTTTAAGAATACTTGCTTCATTGTGGTAAAAAAACAAAAAAAACAAAAAAAACATAAAATCTACCATCTTAACCATTTTCAATTGTACACTTCAGTAATAAGTATATTTGCATTATTGTGAAACATATCTCACGAACTTTATCTTGGAGGTTTAAAACCATATACCCATTAAACAGCTCCTCCCACTGGCCCTGGTGACCACTATTCTACATTCTGTTTTTATGAATTTGACTACTTTGTATGATACTTTTAATATGCTCAGCCCCCCTGCGGTACCACTCATTTAACTGAGTGTGGCTTAATGTGTGCTGTGTTCTGAATGAATAAAACAGATGTGAGCCCTGATACTTAGGAAGTTATGCACACACTGTACTTAAGTAATTAATTTTGTTCATGGAATTCTTAAAAGAAATATTAGTAGTTGTTAGGCACCTGGAGTGTATGTAAGATTTTATTATTTATTCTGGATAATAAAACATCACAATTATATTCCTTGCTCTCTGGCAACATATATTACATTCCAGTAGAAGTTGACATATAAGAAAAATTGACATTTGTTTTCAAATTATGCAAATAACTAACCTACTGTAAATTTGGAAACAATACAAATCACTTCTGATCTCGCCTACTTGTAGACAACTAGTATTATTTTCTCTTAGTCTTGTGAATTTTTCATTTTAATGCACTTATACTTTTGTATTCTATTATTTCTTTTAACATCATCATCACATTTTCCCGTGTATATCATAACTTCATAATCCTTACTTTTAAGTGTTATATAATGTTACATTTATGTACATACCATTCTCAGATCATTGTTTCTTTCTCCTATATTTGGACATTTAACTGTGTTTTTTTGATTTGTGCATGTAGCTTTTACCAAATAGTTAACTTTTACCATAAATAACATTTAATAATGGAAATAATAGCCACACAAAAAAGGAAATAATAGCCACAAAAATAAAATGTCCAAAAATGGAAGGATATATATTTGTTAAGATACAGGTTTTTATTATGGCCCAGTGATATCCTTGCTTCCGTTCTCTGCCCTGCCACCCCAGTTCCCCATTGCCTATCCCCCTAGTTCCATCCCCCAGATGTACTTAAACCTATCTGATTATAGAATAAAGAAAAGTTTTTGTGAAGTTCTCCCTCTAGGAAAGAGTCTTCTTTCACAATGCTGTGAGTAAGGATATACAAGCCTTTGCCTTTCTTCTCTTACACTCTAAAGAGTTGTAGGGGTATCAGCCATCTGGTTGTATAAGAGTGGGAGTTTGGGAAGCAGGACATTTTTATTCTACTGGGAAGCATGGGAGGTGGTAGACTGAGAGAAGAAATCTTCTAGTGATCAAAACAAATTTCAGGTAGATGAGCAGAGCTTTCTATGCTTTATTCTCTGGCCTTTTGTTCCCCTTTAAATTGCTCATTTTTCACTTTTTAAAAATTATTTTACCACTTTTTTAGAAAGAAGAATCCAATTTATTACAATGTCCTAAATCTCCCAAGAAACCACCTAGAGTAAAAACAGCAGGTCAAAAACCTTGGAAGAGCAAGTCTTTGTATCTAATTTCTTCGAAGGATGATGCAATTGAGAAAGGGTAGGTGCACCTTTTGTGTTTTAAGTGTTATTCTGCAGGGGTAAGGTTTTTGAAGAATTGAAAAATTAAATAGAAAACAGAAATTGAAAACTAAATATGTTGATTTTTTTGTATGAGTTTCTTATATTTCAGTGATAGGTATTAGAGTCATGTATACTCTGAATTAAGAGCAGAACTCCTGAGATTAGTAATCTGAAATAGATGATGCCTCTAACCTCCAGCCTCTGATGAGCTGTACAGTCAGAAGACTTCTGAGAAGACTGCACTCCAATTCTTACTAGGGCACTGATCAGTAGTTCAGTATTTCTCAAACTTGTGAATTCGTAAGACTCAAGAATTTTGTCGTTATTTAACATAGCATATTACCTTATTCATTTAGATTTGCCCACATATGTACCCTTCTCATTGTTCTTTATTTCAAATGGGATTATTTTCCTTCAACCTAAAAAAAACACACTTTGGTGTTAACTTTGGTGTAGGATTTGCTGGGGAATAATTTTTTTGTTTACTAGTTTATTACTTCACTTTAATTCTTTTTTTTCCTTTGAGATAAAATTCGCATAACATGAAATTCACCATTTTAAATTGATTTTTGATGTTTTTATTATTGTAGATTGTGCCAAGCATCAGCCTGAGGTCAAACTTAGAGTCTTCTCAGGTCTTCTCTAGTATGTGCCTTTTCCTGGACATACATAGTCATTCTAACTTTTCTCTGCATATGTATTTTGCTTTTGAGTGTCTTAATCTTTCATGTCTGGCTTCTCAAAGGAGGAAAAAAGAGAGAAATGAAAATTGGGGAAGAAAAGGGCAATGTCTCTTTAAATTCCCTGGAAGTCACTTCAGCTTGTATGATGTAAGAAAGTGGTCCAGTTTCATTCTTTTGCATGTAGCAGTCCAGTTTTCCCAGCACCATTTGTTGAAGAGAATGTCTTTTTCCTATTGCATATTCTTGCCTCTTTTGTCAAAGATAATTGACCATATAATTGTGGGTTTATTTCTGTTGCCCCAAAATTCTTAACTACATTGTTAGCACTCTGATTTCTTCTAGCAGACTAATTTTTGTATTTCTTTCAGTTTATCTAGTTTGTCTTCAAAGGGAGAGTTGGTCTAAATCACTCTGTCTGCCATTTCCAAAAATAGCAGTTAGTGAGCTTTTGTGTAGATACTTTGCTTGCATTATATCAGTTCTTACTGCCTCCCCATGAAGGAGGCATTATCTTGATTTTTCAAGTGATAAAACAAGTAAAAAGACATATAAGTATGAATTGAGAGAAAAGTTTAATTTTGAGAACTGTGCATTGTTTTTATGTTTATGTTGTGGCTAGAGTATAGAGTATTACAACAAAAGGCAAGATACAAGCTAAAGCAATGAGGTTCAGATAGTGAAATTTTTTTATATCACACTAAGAAATCTGGAGATTGTTTTCTATTCAGTGGAAAACATCTAGAGAATTCTTTTGTGCCATTTATTAAAATTACATTATTTTATTTTCAATATTGGAAGTATATGCATAGTTCAAAAATGGCAGCATGCTATCCACTTATTCTATACCTTTGCTTTTACTGAATTTATTGGAGAAGGTATTTCATAGCAGTAAATACTATCCATTACTACAGTAATAGACTATAATCTATTTTTTCCATTGTTTCTCGTTCTTGTAATCTTATCTCTCCTTATGTCTGATTATCTTTCATTTTATGTCAGATGTTGTATTTGTACTCTATTGAGGGACATGGACATTATTTCCAATATTTTTCATTACTAAAAACAATGTTACAATGGATGTTCTTGTACATTTGCTGTATTTCATGTATATACTTGTCTGCAGGATAAATTTCTAAAAGTAGAATTTCTAAATCAAAGTTCATGTGATTTAAAGGGTTTTTTTTAGATATTACCAAATTGTATTTCATAAGAGTTGTAACAATATACTCCTTTTAGCATATATGAGAGCATTCAAGCCACTCTGTGTCTTTTTTTAAGATTTTATTTATTCGTGAGAGAGAGAGAAAGAGAGGCAGAGACATAGGCAGAGGGAGAAGCAGGCTTCATGCAGGGAGCCTGACGTGGGACCCTGGTCTCCAGGATTAAGCCCCAGGCTGAAGGTGGCGCTAAACCGCTAAGCCACCGGGGCTGCCCAACTCTGTGTCTTAATTGGAGAGTTAAGTCCATTTACATTAAAAATAATTATTGATAGGTATGGACTTATTGTCGTTTTATTAATTGTTTTCTGGCTATCTTGTAATCCCTTCGTTACTTTTTTTCCCCTCCTTCTGTGATTCTATGATTTTCTGTAGTAGGAAGCAATATTTTTAAGGCGGTGGAGATTTGAGCCTCTTTATATGCCTAGAGTAGTAAGTATCTAGTGGAAAGGGAGAAGTTACAGATCCATGAGAAAGAAGAAGGTCTATATTTTCAAAGGAGAACAGAAGGAAAGATTCAAGGACAAAGGCCATGAGATTAACCTTGGACAGAAGATAGGAAACTTTTTCCTGAAACAGGATGGAAGGAAATAAGGATAGGTATAGGTGAATATATTTGTAATTTAAGAGTTTTCAGTCGTGAATAACAGAAAAGTTGGCTAACAATGGCTTAGACAAATTTATTTTTTCTCACAGAACAAGGAATCTGAGGGTAGGCGACTGCCAGTATTGATTCCTTGGATTGGAAGTGTTAGGGCTTGAATTTTTGTAATGTTCTTGGCCATTCTTTAATAATCATTGGTGTTACAGCTCCTGACATCAGGCTTTCAAATCATAAAGAAGAAAGGACAATTTTCATGAATCCTTCCCTTTTGTCAGGAAAGCAAGCTTCTTAGATGCTCCCCAGCAGTCTTTGTTTTGTATCTTAGTAGTCATAACAGTGTCACATGACTGTCTCTGGAACTTGGTCTTAGAAACTTAGTATTTAGCTTTTTCAGTATCTCAGCGGTGCTACTTATGGAGGCATGTCACTGGCAATAAGTGTTGAGTTAGCCAGTCAGTCTGCTACATCAAGGGAGAGGAAATGGAAGCATGTTGTACCTACCTTTTTGTCTGAGAAGAACATGCAAAGCAATCTGCTGGTGGATTGGAGTGCAGCTATCTTGGTGAAGTGGATGGGTATGTTTTATGGAGCTGGAAAATAAGGTTTAGAATAATTGCAGTGAGGGAGAGAGAGCTAGATAAGAAAATATAAAAAGATAATACCTACAGTCATTGGTCTAGCTCCACAGTGTTTCATGATCTCACCCCACACTGCCACATATAAATCCTTAAGAATCACACCTGTTGTGAGGGTTAAATATGATAATGTGAATTGTATTTAGCACAGTGTTTAGTATGTGTTATGTAGTGTTTACTTAACTGGTAGTGTCCTCTTACCCTAAATAAATTAATTAACTTACTGCCTTTTAAACAAGGCTTTCCCTACTTACTTTCACATATTGCTCACTATTCTCCCACTCTAAAGAACCCCTCTAAACACACACACACGTACACGCACACACACAATACATCTCCTACTCATTTTTCAGGGAAAATCTTATTTTATTCATGAGGGACACATAGAAGCAGAGATATAGGCAGAGGGAGAAGCAGGCTCCCTGATTTCGGGACCCCAGGATCACAACCTGAGTCGAAGGCATACGCTCAACCACTGAGCCACCCAGGTTCCCCTCTTAACCACTTCTTAATGGCTGGACCTGAGACTTGTACTTTTCCCCCCTTATTCTCTCATAGTGCTCAGATGCACACCTAAGATTTGGTGCCGCATGTACCAAAGGTGCTCAATATATGTTAATCAGTGAGTTCTTATCCTTATAATTTAGGTTGAGGCACAGGTCAGAAAACAGCAAAGTTATTCGCTTAACATCTTTTACTGACATTTCTGAATGTCTGAAGCCCCAGCTGGATAGAAGATACACTTACACAGAAGAACCTTCGGTAAGTATTTTGAGAACTGATTTATCTGATTCTTCATTTGACTGATGTCCCCTGATTTTAGGGAATTTTTATTGATCTACCATAGTATTTTTTCTTTACTAAACAACACATTTTATTTTTTCCTTCCAAAAAGATTTTTATACAAAAATTTTCCTGTTTCTTTTTATAGGACCATGTTGCTATATACTCCATTGATTACTACTTTTAAAAACAGCTGTCTTCTGGTTTTGATGTGATGACACCTAAGATACAAAATAAGACTGTCTTTTATTTTTATTAAATTGTTAACATTTGATAAAAAATAGTATTTGATGTTATGTTTTGGAAACTTAAGATTTTTATAAAGCAGAATATTTCCAGTGTATGGCTCCCTTATCATGTGGATTTGCTACATCAGCTACATGACAATTTTATATTCCCTAGGGATTATACTTTAGGTAGAAACTTTTGTAGTTCCCTTATTGTCTGAACAATTAGAATTTTGTTTAACTTTTTATTTTATTCTAATATTTATTTTTTATTTTATTCTAATATTTATTATTTTATTCAATTCTCCTTTTCTTCCGACTAGGTTTTTTTTCTTGCCTACCAAAATAATGGTATTTTTGGTTTTTGGAAGACCAACAGTTAAACATCATAACATTATATTCTCACTTGAGAATATGTTTAGTAGAGGGATAAAGAGAGAGGCAGAGAGATACTATAACAATGCCTTAAATTGTTCATGCCACCGTCATCTGAAGATTACAAAGAATTCTGAGTTCCACGCAGCAAATACCAGAGTTCCTATGAACAGTACATGCCTTTTCATATTCTAAAGTCACTCTTAAAAAAAATAAAAAATAAAAAAAATAGTCATTCTTAGGTTTGGGGACATAGCCAGCTCTCTGTGTTTCAAGAATGGTATTAGGGTTGCCAGCATTGTTGGCCTCCAAATAAGAGTGTTATATGTGAACTTACATTACCATTTACATTCTGAAGGCCATGACCTGTACAGGGTGAGGCTGTCCAGGGAGGAATCCCTTGAGGACAGTTAATGAGCAGCACTGAGAGACCGTGAAGATGGTTCTTTTTATAACTTTCTTGTAGCCATTATAGCATCACCTCAAGGCTAAAATAACTATAAATATGTAGGGATGAGGCCACCAATAGAGATTTGGAAGAATCCTAAAATGGTATTGCTGTGCCTGAAACATGAAAATAACAGAGGTTGAAAAGTCGCTCTAACATTAAGTTTGAAATTGGTTTGGTTTATAATAGAATAAAGTCTGCTGCTGTAGTTGGCTCCATAAATGATTCTTTCTTAAATGACAGTCAGATGCAAACATACTGCATTAATTACTTATATGGTACAAAAATTAAATAAGTCCAGAGGGTAAATGACAGCCGGGCGGAATTTATGAAACCCTGTTGTACAGTGTCATAAAAAATCACCATGTTTCTGGGTGGGTCATGGACTTCTGTTTTGTTATCTAGGTTAAAACCATGGCAGATGGTGCCTTGGGAGGATTTGACATGGAAAATTTGTTGCAATCTTTGTATGTAGAAAATAGAGCTGGATTCTTCTTTACTAAATTCTGTGAGCATTCAGGAAACAAGGTAGACAATAATGATTTTAAATCTAATTTTATGTCTTTACCTCATTTTAAAGTAGGAGAAGTTGAAGTAATTCAGTGCTCAAATAATTACATTTGATGTTAAACTTCCCATTTTCTCTGGTAAGAAATATGCTAAATATTTAGTAAAAATGTAAACATCTTGATCATAATTCTCTTGGCTCACTATCCTACTAGAATTACAAAGAAAAGGAAAAGATTAACTTGCATTATTTAAAAAAAAGATTTATAGAGAGTGAGAGAAAGAGCACACAAGTGGGGGAAGGGGCAGAAGGAGAGGGACAGAGAGAATCCTGAAGCAGACTCCCTGCTAAGCATGGTGCCAGATAACAGGGGTTGATCCCAGGACCCTGAGATCATGACCTGAGCTGCAATCTTAACTGATTGAAGCCCAAGTGCCCCTTGACTTGGATTATTAACAATAATTTATTCTTCTGTAATTTTGTTTCAATATAATATAAAATTCGGAGTTGATTTCTATTAATTCTTTAATTTTCATTTTTATTTTTTTATTTTTTTTAAACTTTTTTTAATTTTTATTTATTTATGATAGTCACACACACACACACACACACACAGAGAGAGAGAGAGAGAGAGAGAGGCAGAGACATAGGCAGAGGGAGAAGCAGGCTCCATGCACCGAGAGCCCGATGTGGGATTCGATCCCGGGTCTCCAGGATCGCGCCCTGGGCCAAAGGCAGGTGCTAAACCGCTGCACCACCCAGGGATCCCAATTTTCATTTTTAATAACTCTAACAATTAGAAATTGCAACGGATAGTGGAAGATTCATTGCCAGTTTTTTTTGTTTTGTTTTCATTTTGCTCAAATATAAAGTATTTTACTGGCTCAATTATTAAGGTAGTGTTTGGTTTTAGTATGATGTACATTTGCCCATATTTATCAAAATACCTCAAGATTTTGATTTCATACCAAAATATGTGATTACTCTTTAATTGTTAACTAGCATGTGCCCTATTTTAATGGCCAATTATGTAAGAGGCATCCATGCAAAAATATTTTAGTGACAATACCAAATAAATATTTTGTATGTTGCTAATTTGTAATAGAAAATAAGACATCTTAAATTAAACCTGATTTATGGTAACACCAAGGAGCTAAACAATTATTTATATTTGTAATTAGAGCTTTGTAAAGCTTTAATAACTGGGTGATAATGATTTATGTATTTTTTCCATTTACAGTTGTGGAAGAACAGTGTGTACTTTTGGTTTGACCTACAGGCTTATCATCAGCTTTTCTACCAAGAAACACTTCACCCTTTTAAAGTATGCAAACAAGCCCAAGTAAGTAATAAATAATGGTTCAATGTGCAGGTCTAAGTACACAAAGAAATGAAAAAGTTGTGTTCTGCCCCAAACAAGAGAAATCTGGGAGTACAGGCAAAAAGGCAACAGTTAAATTGTTGCCATGAGATTACTTCATTTAAATGTCAGTAGAATATTGTTTTATAATCTGATTTGTGAGTTTCCAGTTTTATCTATTTTATTTGGTTTGCTTTACTTTCTCTTTGCTGGCAATTATTTGTTCTTCCAATAAAGGACATCCCATATTTTTTGTAATTTATGCCTTTTTGGTTTGGTTGTGAGTGATTTAAGAGAACCCTGAAGAAAGGACTTGTCATTAATCATTGAAGTGATGGGGAGCAGAGGCATTGGCCAGAGCTGTTCTCTGAGCTTTCTGCAGAAATCAGCTGTTGGACATACTCAGGCTGGTGACCTTCTAGAGGGCAGGAAAGGATGTTGACTGTGTAGTATAGGATCCATGTCATCACCTGTGCTTCTGTACTACACACCATGTAAGACAAAGACTAAGAGGTGAAGAAAAGAATATCTCAAGACCACCCTGAAGCAAAATAGAGGAGGAAGAACAGAGGATTCTCTGCAAAGGGAAACAGAGAGTGGCCTCTTTTGAGGAGGGAGAAAGAAAGAGAATAGAATTATGACTGTAGCTGACTTAATCTTTTAATTTTTTTATTCCTAGGATCTTATGATCTTTTTTTCCCCAAAGATTTTATTTATTTTAGAGAGAGAACATGAGCAGGGGTGTGAGCAGAGGGAGGGGTAGAAGCACACTTTCTGGAAGCTAGACACAGGGCTCAATCCCAGGACCCTGAGACCATGAACTAAGCCAAAGGCAGATGCTTAACCAACTGAGCCACCCAGATGCCCCAGGATCTTATGATCTTTTTATAAAGAGAAGTCTTCAAGCCTAGGAAACTGCTAATCACTTCTCTATCTGTTGACCACCTAAGTGTCTCTTTTAGGTGGGATAACCACATTCCAGAGAACCTCTCCCCAAATGATGCAGGGATTAGCTTTGTCTATTTATTACCTTGTACTCTTATTCAGGATATCAGAGAGTATTGCTGCTGGATGTTTGTTGTTACTTCTACCACCTAGACTCTCGCATTAATAAGTATGCTTTGTAAATCAGCTGACAGAGCTTTGTACTTTTTACATGAGAACAAGGGCTCCAGCTGCTACCTAGCCTGGATCTGGCTCAGTGCCATCATGAAATTGTATCTCTAATTTTCCAGTACCATTTTTTGAGACTATACAGTGGGCTCTTTTGCTTGTTCATCCTTTTTAAAAAATTTTTTTTTAAATTTATTTATTTATTTATTTATTTGCTTGTTCATCCTTAACCTGTGAGTCTCTACTTTTCCTCCTCCCCCTGGCCTATTCTTCCTGCCTGCTACTGTTATTTATTATGTTTTCACTACTGAAAAGCCTGCTCCTCCAGAAATCTTAAGCTGCTCCATCAAGTGGGTTCTTTGTTGTTGTATTAGTCGCCATACTTCCATGCACTTGTAAAAGTGGAAATTCTATTTGTTTGGTAGACTTACTAATTTTTAGTAATGATATTATTCTACCTGCTAAAGAAGTGTTGAGAAACCAGATACAGCCAAATTTTGGTTATTCTGAGATGGATTATTCTATTTGGGGATTATCAAAGTCTGTAAGCTTTTTATCCTTCTCTAGATTATCTTCTGAAACTTTTTTTAAAAAATAGAAGTAGAATTAGCATACAATGTTATATTCATTTCAAGTGTACAACAAAGTGATTCAGCAATTTTGTGCATTACTCAGCTCTCATCATTGTAAGTGTAGACACATCTACCACCAAACAAGGTTATTACAATATTATTGACTGTATTCCCCTATGCTTGCTTTTCATCTTCATGACTTATTTTATAGCTGGTAGTTTGTATCTCTTATTTGCCTTTGTCTATTTTATTCATCTCTGTACTCACCTCCCCTTTGGCAACCACCAATTTGTTTTTGTATTTAAGAATCTGGTTTTTGTTTTTGTTTTTTCATTTATTTTGCTTTTTAGATTCCACATATAAGGATGGACTTAAAGGGTATTATGCTAAGTGAAATAAGTCAGACAGAGAAAGATAAATACCATATGAATGAACTTATTTTTCTGTAGGTTACTTTTTGGGGAGTCACAGCAGGTGAGGGGAGGGAAACAATGGAGAAAATTGCCTTCAGGTGAATTGGGGGAAATTGAAGGAGCAAGTCATGTGATTTTTTTTTTTTTTTGGCTTGTTTGCTTTTTACATCTATGGTTACTTTATTTTTTGGTTAATGGAGCAATTGTCTAGGTTGGTTTAGGTTTTAGTTATCCAAGATCTCTGTGCTTCCAGATATGAAAATTGCTTCTAATCCCACAATCCTACAGATTTGTTTCACAGAATGAAATAACACTCATTTCTTTATAATAGAAATGCTGTATGGCTTTCTTCAAGAATATATCTACAATAGAGATAATTGGATCAATAATGCCAATGGCAGAATGCAATCAGCTGGCACTATGGTAAAGTCACTATGAACTTGATTTTATACTGTTTTTATAGATCTGACAAGCTATATGATAGGAGACCAAGAGCTGGTTCCAAGAGACATACTTTTCTGTATGATAGTAAGCAAATTACATACCTTGAAGTTTTATTGCCTCATAAAATATTGCAGAAGTATCTGTAGGCAGACTAGATGAGGAATCAGTGACAGTAATTTAGCATGAGTAATTGTCCAAGAGTTTGAACTGCAGTCTTGGACACATCCTGAAGATTTTACTGCATGGCTTTAAGATAGAGTAGTGTAATTAGAAGCCAGTTGAAATGATCTTGGCAAGGAGAAAAGGAACCACTTACTGTAGTGCAGAGGTGAAGTCTTTGGCTCTAGCAACAGCTTGCCAGGAGGCTGTCTATCACTGCTAAGACTGGGAGCCTAGATTGTTGCCACAGATAATATTACTGCTTTTTTTGATACTAAATACTTCGATGATAGAGTACTGCAATAGAACGAAGAAGATCTGGGTACCACTGTCTTTTATAATGTCTTCCATCTTTGTAGAAATCTTTCAAAGTGCATTCCAGCAAAAACTATGCATTTAAAAATTACCACTCTCTACAGCATATACTTTGAGAATTTTTTTTTGAAATTAGCAAACAAGTATGATCATAAATATTATACATGTTTACACTAGAGTCTGACTTCTACAACATCCAATAATTCTATGGTTCTTGAAAGAACTAATTTTGCTATTTGTTATTTTTGCCAACATGTTGGGTTCCTTCTTGCATATACTGTAATTTTGTTTTTTGGTTTTTTTTAATTTTTTTTATATACTGTAATTTTGAATTATGAGCTCTTTACTGAGGTTTTTACCTATGGTGCTTATGCTAGGCACATTTTTATTTATTTATTTATATTTATTTATTTATTTATTTTTGTTTTGTTTTGTTTTGTTTTTTGCTAGACATATTTTTAGTGCTGACTTCTCACCTTGGAGTTTCCTTATTTGCCAACTGTAATCTTGAAAACCAAACACATAAGATGGTAAATTCACAATTATGAATCCTTGGGAGATATTCTTCTTTTGTTTTGCATAGAGTCTAGGCCAGGGCAAGCAAGTTTCTGTTTTGTTTCCTAGATTTGGTCAATGTAGATATAGGTAGTGACAGAGATAGAGATAGAGATATATACATGCATACATTTCTTTTTCCCATTCTGCATTTCACATTGTGTATGCCCCTTCAAGAACCTTGGTGTATGTATGGCTCCCAACATAACTTTTCCACCTAGTGAGGGTCCAAGGCCTTGTCTTCGGTACTCAGTGGCTCTTATTTTTATTTTTTTTTTTTTATTCTTAACAGTGGAAGTACGTGGGGTGTCGAATGAAACATAGGCATTTTTTTTTTTTTACCTTGTCTCAGGCATTTTTTTACCTTGTCTCCACAACACAGGTTTATTTTTTTTTAATTTTTATTTATTTATGATAGTCATCACACACAGAGACATAGGCAGAGGGAGAAGCAGGCTCCATGCACCGGGAGCCCGACGTGGGATTCGATCCTGGGTCTCCAGGATCGCGCCCTGGGTCAAAGGCAGGCGCCAAACCGCTGCGCCACCCAGGGATCCCCTCAGTGGCTCTTATAATGCACACTCTTGCTTTGCCCCGTGGTAGTCCCATTGTCAGCTCATGCTTATCACCCCGATCTTTAGTATATTCCTTAATTTGGGCTCCTGGTAGTTTTTCTTACTATCTCAGCCATATGTTTAACAGAATGTTTGTTATACTTTATCCAATATTTCTAGAGATTTTATAGAGAGGGGATTTTCAAGTAACCAGTCTATCAACATACTAGAAAAAGGAAGCAGCCTTATATTTTCTAATTTTATACCCACAGTAAGCATATGAGGTATTTTTTATACTATTTTTTAATAGGTCAAAAGAAACTACATCTCTGAAATGTTAACCTTGCTGAAGTTGCATAGCTGGAAACAAAGTTGAGCTCAAACTTGAGATGTATAACCTATTTCAATGCTGTACTTTGCCTCCTTTACCCTATAAAAGTTCTTATATCTGCTTCACAGGACTTCTGTAAGGATTGCATAAGATAATGTAGGTGAGAATATGTTGTAGTAGAGACCTACCTTGGAGATACTGTAGGTTTGGTCCAGACCCCTGCAATAACGCAAATATCACAATAAGGTGGGTTAAATGAGGTGGGTGGCTTAGTCGGGTAAGCGACTGTCTCTTGATTCTGGCTCAGGTCATGATATCAGGGTTGTGAGCTGAAGCCTCGCATCAGAGCTCTGTGCTAGGTGTGAAGACTGCTTAAGGTTCTCTCTCTCTCCCTCTCCCTCTGCCCCTCCTCTCCCATTTGCACACTCTTTTTCTCTTAAAAAATACAATACAGTACAATACAATACAATAAACTGAGTCCAATGAATTTTTTTGGCTTCCCAGTACGTATAAAAGTTCTATTTAC